TCGCTGAATTTGACACTCAGCATTTCTAGGCTGGCTGACCAGAGAGCTCCTGGAATCTGCCTGTCTTCCTCCCGGTCACTCCCACCCCCACCCGCTAAGCTCTGGAATTGTGGATGCTGGGAATTCAAACTCAGGTCCTCTCGTTTGCCTAGCAAATGCTCTTACTCCCTGAGCCATCTCCACTGTCTGGTGGGGTAGTTTTCTGATTCTGTGTCTGTGAGGCAAATCTCTGCAGCCCGCCCATCTGAATCAGCTGGGGGAAAGCTTGTCTTCTGTTTATTTTTGGTGCTGAGGATGGAACCCAGGGCTTCATACATGAGAGCGAGCTACACCCCAGCCTCTGTTTTGTGTTTTTAGATAAGCAAGTCCCAGAGCCATCCTTGTGCCTTCGAGGGCTGGCATTGGAACTCTGGAGTCCGCACCTCCAGGAGCCTCCATCTACGGGTTCTCGTGTGCAAACTGCTTTGGGTTCTGCCTCGGTTTCTTTTTTCTGATGCTGTCGTAACGTGCCCTGACCAAGGCAACTGGAGGGCTCACACTCCACAGGGCAGTCCATCATTGTGGTGAAGTCAGGTGCCAGGAGCTTGAGGCAACTGGTCAGCATTGCATGTGCAGTAAAAGCGGAGTGATGAACGCATGCTCGGTTACTGCTCAGCTCTCTTTCTTTTTCCATTTTGTTCGGTCCAGGACCTTATGCTCAGGAATAGTCCCGCTCACAGTTACAATGAGTCTTCCCACATCAGCTAACATAATCAAGATAACACCCTACAGGCATGCCCAGAGACCTGTGGTCTGTCAGTTCGGCAGTTCTGATGAGCATCCATCTTCTATCAGTAATGGCAGATGCTTAACTTGAACTGGGCACAATGGGGCAAGTCTGTGACCCCAGCACATGGGAGACTGAGGCCGAGATTTCAAATTGGTAACCTGGGCTATCTATATAACATTCTCTCTCTCTCTCTCTCTCTCTCTCTCTCTCTCTCTCTCTCTCTCTGTGTGTGTGTGTGTGTGTGTGTGTGTGTGTGTGTGTGGTGGGGAGAAGCCCTGTTTTAGAGATGTTGTACTTGCAGGAAGAGAGAAGGGAGGCCATAGCTACAGAGACAGAGGGTCACAGTGCCTTGGCAAAAGTCCACAGTGAACGACAATGGGTGAGGTGACTTGTGGATGTACGAATATCATTATGGATGAAGCTTTTAGCTGGACACGGTAACATACACCTGGGAGGTAGAGGTGTGTGTGTGTGTGTGTGTGTCAAGATTTGAAGGGCAGCCTGGCTACCTGAGACTCTGTCTAAATAGAAAAAAAAATGCCTTCCCCATTTTGTGTGTGTCAGGGAGTTGCATGTGCACATATACATGCTTGCATGTTTGTGTGTTTGTGGAGGTGTCAGTCATGAAGCCTGCAGGCCTGAGCATGATCCCTGGAATTTACATGGTAGGAGGAGAGAGTCGATTCTTGCTCTGATCTCTATACACATGCCGTGGCATGCGTGTCTCCCTCTAATAAATAGATAAATGGTCTTTTTTTTTTTTTTTTTACAGCGTAGGTAGAGAGGGGTAGCATGTGCTCAGCACACCAGCGCTGCAGTAATGGCATCTGTGTTACTTTCACTTAATACTTTCCCCACGCATTCGGGTTCCTCTCCCACCACCTCCTTACATCTGCAGGGTTCTCTTGTGTAACGCTGTCGACTTGTGTTCATCTCCTGTTCCCCACACATGATACTCCAGCAGCAGCAAAGGACGGTGCCGTGTGCTTCTCGAGTTTTCTGTGTCCCTGACCCTTCTCAGAGGTTGTTTCTCCATCCGGTGAGGCTCAAACCCACCAACACCTGCAGCCAGCCTCACTTCCTTAAGGTTCCTTTCCCGGCACATCCCTCTCCTGCCCACCACTCCCTGGAGCTCTGCTCTCTGCAGGTTAGGCAGAGCCATAGCCCAGCGTTCAGAGTCCCCCACAGCGATCCAGCTATTCCTCATTTTCACATCAGCCCCTTATCTGTGTCACCACAGCTGCCCGGGGCTGTCTAAACTCACCTCCCTCTCCCCACTGGATAAGGTGGGTCTCATGTCCCGGTCACTCACCTTCCTTTTTTTTTTTTTATTGCTTTATATATAATGCCATTCAAAATTTCCACTTCCTCCCCTCCTCCCATTTCCCTCCCGCTCCCCCACTCACCCTCCTCCCTCCCCCTCCAGTCCTAAGAGAGGGCAGGGTACCCTGCCCTGTGGGAGTCCAAGGCCCACCCCTCTCCATCCAGGTCTAGGAAGGTGTGCATCCAAA